TTCCTTCCCTCCTTCCTTCCTTCCCTCCCTCCTTCCCTCCCTCCTTCTTTCCCTCCTTCCTTCCTTCCTTCCCTCCTTCCTTCCTTCCCTCCTTCCTTCCCTTCTTTCCCTCCTTCCCTCCCTCCTTCCTTCCTTCCTTCCCTCCTTGCTTCCCTCCTTCCTTCCTTCCCTCCCTCCTTCCCTCACTCCTTCCTTCCTTCCTTCCTTCCTTCCTACCTTCCTTCCTTCCTTCCTTCCTTCCTTCTTTTTCTTTTGTTTTTTTGAGACAGGGTGTCTCTGCGTGGCCCTGGCTGTCCTGGACTCACTGTGTAGACCAGGGTGGCCTTGAACCTCTCCTGCCTGAGTGCTGGGGTGACAGGCGTGCCCCGGGCTGACTTGCTCATTCTCTATGGGGCTCCCTGATGCGCTGGGACCTGGGCTACACGTGTTTGTTTGCTGCAGGTACTGGTTTTCCTTTTCTCTCCTTTGAGATGGGGTTTCGCATAGTGCCCCTGGCCTTGGACTGTGTAGGTAGCCAAAGATGGCCTTGAACTTCTGACCCTCGCACCTCCAGCACCTGGGTGCTGGACCGCAGGTGTGAGCCACCGGGCCTGTTTTACGGGGTACTGGGGATCAAGCCAGGGCCTTGTGCAGCTGGCACGGAACGCACGCATTCGATTGACACGTACCCCGGAACCCAGCAACATCCGTACGTGCGTTTATGCATGCGTTCAAGGCCTGTGGCCCCTCTAGTTTGGAAGTGTACGGCGTGCGTGTGTTTGTGTGTGTGTTGCGGGCTTGTGTAACCTGGGCGCCTTTCTTCCTCCAGCTGCCGTCTTCCCTCCTCTCTAGCTCGCTCACACACCCATGCTTGCGTGTGGGGCTGGGGAGGCCCGGGTGTCAGCAGGCGCCCGTGTCACAAGGTTAATTTCTCCGCAGCCGGGCAGCCGGCCCTGAGGGGGCTGTGGGGGAGGGCTCTCCCGGCCCTCTGATAAATATGTATTTGGGGCTGCCGTGCTCAGAGGTCATGGGGGAGGGGAGGGGTCCGCACTGGGCTCCCGGCCAGCCCAGCGTGGCTGGGGTGACCTCCCTCGGAGGGACGAGGAGACCCGGGGAGGTGCCCCTCGCTCTGGTGTGCCCACCGCACCCACACCCACACCCCACCCACGGGGAGACGGTTGTGGACACCGATATTCAAAGTCTAAAGCAGGAAAGCATGACGCTGCCCCCGCCTCCCGGGAGCCAAACAGGGACAAACAGACACAAAGCGCCCGTGGCCGCCAGGCGCGTGGAGGCCGAGGGTACTCAACCCCTTCCCAGCCCCGGCCTCCCACCGGCGCGGCCCATGGAAGCTGCACGCTGCACAGGGACATTCTCACAGGCGCGCACAGGCGTGCCGGGAGGAGGCCCGCACGCTCGGCAAGGAGACACACAAAGGTGCCCGGCCCCCAGAACGTGTCCCCGGCTCCGCACACGCGGGCCACGCGCCCCAGGGCCGGCGACACAAACTTCTGCGGGGCGAGCAGACCCGGCGGAGGGAGGCCTGTGGACTCCGCGTTCGCACCTCACATACAAAGACCCCAAGTCCCCTCCCCCTGCGGCGCGCAGCAGGCGTGGAGGGGCGCCCAGTGAGCCGCCGTCCTCCCCCTCTGGCCCCCGCCGTCCAGAGCCCCCTCCGCGTGGCCGTCCAGCCGAGTCCTGGCGGCCCGGAGCCCCCTCCGCCCGCCGGCCACCGCGGCCATCAGCCCGGCCATCGGCTGCTCCTGCGTCTGGCCTGCCTTTGCTCACTCTCCCTTACCTGGCCACGCCGGCCGGACCATCGGAGCCCTTCCGGGGTCTGCCGGGCTCTCTGCCCTGCTGAGTGACCCTCGGCCCATGCCTCACTTCTCAGCACACGGCTGTCATCCTTCAGTGACCGCCAGGCACACTGGTTCTGGTGCGTTTGAGTGTGTGTGAGAGAGAGAGCCTAGGAGAGGCTTAGAGGTGTGTGTAGGAACGGTGGGATGGCGGCGGCTGTGTTCCGGGTCAAAGGAGTGTGTGTGAGAGAGGGAGAGGACAGGGAGGTTGGGTGCCAGCAGCCGGGGGAAAGGTGAAGGCTGCATATGTGAGGTCTGCACACGGCAGCAGGGTGCGTAGGCCGCGTGTGCGCGTCGGCAGCTGCACGCCTGTGTGCACGCTCGAGTGCCTTAGTTTCTGAAGTCTTTGCTACATCGGTCTGCGTGGGATCCGGGACACCGGAGCCTCTGTCAGGGGTGGACAACTGGAGTGGGCCTCAGCCTGTGGCCTGTTTGTGAACGTGACAGATGCGGCCTCCCGGCCTCCCTGCGTCGGATTAAGTCCGAGAACGCCTCAGGAGTGCACGCCCAGGGTGGGGGAGGGCCCCGGCCTCCTCGGGCTCACTGGTGTGGGCCGCAGGGTCCCGGGCTAACAGCTGAAGGCCCCGCCCCCGCCCTTCTGCATTTCTCGAAGGGACGCTTTGACCTGACATGAGGACGAGTGTTCCTGTACACGCATGAGCACACTCATGTTCACACATGACAGTTCCCGAGTGTCCGAGAAACACTGTCACGAGCTGCATGTGAGTGCGAGACCTCCTAGGCTGTAGGAGACCAAACTCAGGTCCCGAGAGCAGGGCGAGTGAGACGGCCTCCTCACCCCCTCCCCCCGGTCCTGGCACCCCTCCCTTGCTCTTCCTTCCCGCTCGCCCAGCTGGAAACCGTCCGATCTTCTCCTGTGCTCACACCCAGGCCCACCGGGCATGCGGCAGGACAGGCTCTGTGCGAGTCTAGGTCCAGCCCAGTCAGGCGCTGGCGCCGCGTTCTTTTCAGGCCGAGAGTAATCACGCCACCAGCCTAATTACCTGGGGGAGCGCAGGGGACTTCATTCACACTCTGGCAACCCAACAAACAACCGAATGCAAGGCCCTGGAGTGGGAGGGGAAGAGGCGCCCCAGCCTCCTTCTGAAATCCCTCTGTGTCAGAGCTGGGGACACCCGGGCCTCGGGGATCTAGTGAAGATGGGCCGTCGGTGAAGGAGGGAAGGCACGTTTGCTTGTGAGGAAGCTGTCCAGGGCTGACCAGGCGGGTCAGGAAGGCACAGGGCCCTCCACGGATCTGTCTGCGGACCCCCTCCCTTTCCAGCTTTCCTCTCAGGATGGAAAGCGAGGCCCAGGTCTTCTGAGCCCTTCGGAGTCCATCTACCTGGCAGGCCCTCGGAGACGGGTCTGTGGTCTCCCGGGGGGGGGGGGGGGTCCAAGCCAGCGAAAAGAAGGGTGAGACAGCGGAGAGGACGGGAGAGTGGATGTCTATGAACAAAGCTGGCCTCCTGGAGCCGGGAACCCTGGGCAATGGTCCTGCTCGGGCTTGTGCACCGAGCTAGGAATCTGAACGTCGGGAGCTTCACAGGAGGAGGCCCTGTGAGAGCCGGGATGTGTGGGGACCCAGATGATGGGGATGATGGGGATGATACGTGGAGAAGAAACCAAAGAGAAAGCAGTGGGAGGCACAGTAAGAAAGGACAGAGCTGCCTAGGAGCCCACAGGCCCTTGGCCTCCTCCAGCGAGCCCTGAACCCGGGGTCTCAGCCAGTTCTACCCTGTAGGAGGGAGCTGCTCCCTGGCACCTGGCAGCACCTGGCCAGCTCTTGGCATGGACGTGGGGCAGGCGCCTCCAGGGTGTCATGCCCTCGCCCACGCATCGCCACCATGTACCAGGGCTACAAAAAGCCCAACATGGTTTGGAGGGTGCCGCCCGGCCTGGCCGCCGTTTTCATGAGCGAAGCGCTTTTGCCCCACAGGCCCCGACTGTGAACAGGTGGGAGGTGGCCGGGGGCGGCCGGAACACGAACCTGACCAGCAAACCCAGCGTCTGGAGGTGCAAGCTCACAACCTGTCCTGGTGCACTCCCGGGTACAGGTGTGCGTACAAGCACACCAGCAGCACGACTAGACACCCACTCTCCCTGCAAAGCCTGGTGAGCGTGAGGCCACCCAGGTCCCCAGGGCAGCCCGGCAACCTTCCGGAGGGACGCCAGCAGCGCCAGGAAAACCCGGGCCTGTCTGCCCCCGGCACCCCCAGTCAGGATGGAGACTCACCCCGGTGCCCACAGCGAGGGAGGAGGCCTGGGCCCTGACCCTCACAGTCCCACGCCGGGACACCGTCACTACGGAGGGCCCGTGCGGGAGGGCAGCCATTTCCTTGTTCTGTCTTCTCGAGCCCAGCGTTGTGCAAACACGCCGGCAAAGCTTCCCACCTCGGCAGCAAGCAAGGCATCCCCACGCAGGGACTGCACCAAACTGCCCGCCCTCTCATCCAGGACACACGGGGACCCCGGCCACAAAAGCCACAACAGGGACAGCCGCATGCGGAGGGCACTTCCACATATGTGACTCCAGCGTGCACACGCCACGGTCGGCGGCCGCGCACAGGGGCACCAGGGTGTCTCCTGTCCACGGCTGACGCACGCCCTCGGCCACTTCCACACACAAGCCAGGGACGGCTTCCTGAATACACATGACGGACGGCACAAAAAACCTACAGGGGAAGAGACGGGTCCGAACACGTGCCGGAGCCCCTCCTGGATGGGGGTCACCCACACGGGGGCACGGGCTCTGCCGCCCCACTGCAAACACGCACCACGATTACATACTCTCAGCCCCTCGCTCGGCCAAGGCTGCAGAGCCCCGTGCAGTCAGCCCGTCCGGACACCTCTGCGTTACCTTGAGGGCCCTGGACACACGCATGCAGCCGCCATGGTCTGGCCAGGCCCCCACCATGCAGACTGCTCGCCTTGCCCTTACACGCTGGGGTTGGGGACAAATTCACCTGTCAGGATGGCAGGAGGACACAGCTGTGGGCTCAGGCAGCTGTCTGGAATGTCTCTAAATCTAAGGCTCGCTGGGTCCAGTTCCATGGGCCCAAGGAGGAAGGCAGGAAGAGGGGAGTGGTCGGCAGGCCAGAGCCTTTCTCTCGGGATCTTTACCTGAGACTCTGAGGCCCTGAGGAGCTCCCCCTCACCCTCCGGGTTCCTCCCTTTCCCTTCCAGGTCACTCTCTGCCCTGCCCACACCCTTCCTCCTCGGTGGGGCTGAGAGCTCAGTCCTGGGCCCTGCTTTAGGCTCTTCCGCCCCCTCCGCGCGCCCCTCCGCGCGCCCCGGGAGCCTCCAGCAAGACTTTTCTGGAGGCCAGAAGGAGACAGGAGGCAGCCCAGGACCCCAGGACAGACCAAACCCCAGCTGGGAAGATCAGCACAGAGATCTCTGGGATTCAGGCGGCGTAGGGGTTAGGTTCTGGAGGAAAGTTAGGGGAGCCTTGCCTTTGCACGGAGCCCTTCTCCCTGGCACCCCGCTCAGTGCTGATGCTGCAAAAGTGATGAATAAATGAAACTGAGGGGGGGAGAGCCGCTGGGGACAGGGGAAACGAGTGGCAGGAGGAGAGAATGGAATAAAGGGGGGAGGGAAAGAGAGAAAGAGAAAGAAAAGCTGGCGGAGAACGGAGAAAGAAAGCTGGAAAGCTGGGCGGTGAAGGCTGGAGGAGAGAAACTGGAAAACGGGAGAGAGAAGAGATAAAGGAGGACAGAGAGCGTGAGAGCACGGAAAGGAAGAAAGAGGAGGGAAGGACAGGCAGCTGAAGGGGCTCCCCAAGTTACAGACTTTGCCCAGAGAGCTGAGGGGTGCGCACGGCTCCCCAACACCGCCCTGGGGTCCCCGGCCCCGCTCTCCACCTCTCTCCAGTGCCACCCTGGCTGCCTCCACTTCCCACTGCCCCTCCTGCCGGCCCAGGCGCCCCGCTCCTTTCTCCCTCGCCCCGTTCCAGCCCAAGCCTTTCTCCTCTCGGGGCCCTTACCTCTCCCCCCCACGCACCCCGCTCGCTCCGGAGCTCCAGACGGCACCGCCAACCATCAGCGCACTAGAGCGGCCCCCACAGCCCCGGGAAGGAGGGGGAGCGAGGCCAGCGGGCGCCGGCGGCCGAGCCCTCGCCTCGTCCTGCTGAGCCGGGCAGAGCGGTCCCGCCCAGGCCGGGCGCCTCTCGGCCGGGAGCCGGCTCGGCTCGCTCCTTTTTGTGTCGGGAGCCCCGGAAGCGCTGGGTTTTGTTTTCCACACCTTTTCACTGGTGTGACCCCCCGTCTGGGCTTTATTTTTCGGCCTGGGGGGCGGCTCGGCTCCCTCCGCCCGCGCCCCGTCCCTCCAGCCCGCGGGGCCGCCGCTCGCCGCTCCCCTCGGCGGGCGCCCGCTCTCCCGTCCCCTCGCCTGCGCCCCGGTCCCTCCTCGCCGCTCTCCGCCCGTTTCCCCGTCCCACCCCTCCTCCATCGCCCCTCGGTCCCCTCGCGGCCACCAGGAGCGAGCCGCCCCCCCGCACGCGCTCTCGGGCTCCCAAATAATAGAGCCCCGGCCGGGGGCCGAGCCGGGCCGGGGGCCGAGCCGGGCGGGGACGAGGCCGCGGCGGCCGCCGAGCGCTGCGCAGCGAGCGGCGCCCGCCCGAGCGCTCTGCAATAGGCCGAGCGGCCGCATTAGGCTCCCGCAATCAATAAAGCGCGGGCCAGATTATGCAAAGCGCAGATATTAATATGCAAAGTTTTAAAGATTTTTAAATGGAAGGGCGAGCGCGGCGCGGGCGGGCGGGCCGCGGGGAGGGAGGAGGGAGGGCGGCGGGCGGCGCGCGGGCGAGCCGGGAGGAGGAGGCTCCGGCGCCCGCCCGCCGCCCGGCCGCGCCGCCGCCTTGCCTTACCGCTGCTCCCATCGGTAGGCGCCGCTGTCTTCGCCATGCGCGTGAGCGGCACGGCTCCGAGGGGACGGCCGAGGAGGAGCCGCCGCCGCCGACGCTGCCCCCGCTCCCGCTCCCGCTCCCGCGCCCGCTCTGCCTGCTG